GGGTATTCAAGTAAACTACTCTTATATGGATAACTACTTACAACACTATAAATAAGGGTTGGGAGAAACCAAGAGGGAGGCTAAGGAGAAGAAAGCCAAGGAGGAGGGAAGATAAAGAAGCTCTGCCCGAGTCCATCTGAAGAGGAGAAAGGAAGATTAGTTGTGAAGCTCTGCTAGAGTTTGCCCCAATCGAAGTCTTTCAAATTCACCTCTGAAGAGAAGAGTACACTGTCGAAGTCCTTCTTCAAAAATTCAAATCATCTTTAAGCCATTTAATATAAAAGAATGATGAGAAGATCCAACAAAGCTACAATCGAATCGAAGAATGAAAACTACGTCAATCCAACTCTCGTCTTTAACAAATCCACCAAGTTAAAGATTGAAGATCAAGGATCACAGAACGAGAACCACGTTGGTCTAGTCCTTGCCTTCATCAAATTCACCAAATCCATTAAAATCAAAGATTAAGAAACACGCCAATCAGGCCCTCGTCATCATCAAATTCATTGAGAATTGAAGGGCAGTGCACGTAAGAAGCATACCAAAAAGAGTTAACACTACTTCTTTTACTTAAATTCAATCAAATTGACTATTATAATTTGACTTTATTTTGTGTTAAATTATATAATAAATTTTGTTGTTACAAATTCTGGCATGCCTAGTGGGACACTCTCTTCCTCTCATCTCTTAAGTCAAAAATTCAGACAACCTGACAACAATGACAGCCGAAGACATCATGATTCCTTCCACTAACAAGTAGACAAACCTGGTCGAGGAGTCAATTACAACAACTTGCGCCAAAATAAAGGTAGACAACTCTCAAATCTTGCCACCGATAGAGCATCACACTAAGCAAAGCAAAAGAAAGGTTTGTCTTACAAAAAAAGAGACAACATGTCCATTTTTCTGTCGATCTAGAAGAAAAAACAAACGATTCTATGTCCGACACACATTCCAACATGNAGACAACATGTCCATTTTTCTGTCGATCTAGAAGAAAAAACAAACGATTCTATGTCTGACACACACTCCAACACGGGCTCGAGGACTAGATCCTACTCTGAGACTTCTCCTAAGTAGAAGTGGGGTGATTATGCCTCGGCCTCCGATACGCCTATGCCAATGATGGTGATGNTCCAACATGGGCTCGAGGACTAGATCCTACTCTGAGACTTCTCCTAAGTAGAAGTGGGGTGATTATGCCTCGGCCTCCGATACGCCTATGCCAATGATGGTGATGGAAGTCACTACATCTAAAGAATATCTTCGGTAACTCATTATTACGATCGAAAGATTTACCAAAACTCTTGAAGATAAAAATATGCATGTCGCCGCACTCATGAATCAGCTTGAATTGCAAGAACTTTCAAAAGGAAGCAGTCAAGAAATTCCAAATTTATCTGGCACCAAAACACCAGAAAATCCCAAGTTTTTAGAAAATCAACAGAAGCAAGAGCGATAAGATCGAGCCGTCACACAAAATGTCATGCAAGATTCTTCTTAGATTTTCTTTGTTGCACTCTTTGTCCAACAACTCTGGCATATGATTGCAGATACGCACCGAACCCAATATGGAGGAGGTCAAAAATCTTTGTTGGTATATGCCAAGTCATATAGCTGACGAATTGATGAGATGCAAATGTCTATGGCTATTAACCCCCAAAGTTCTAACAATTTGATGGAAAAGGCAACCCAAAATATCATGTTACCTATTTCATTGAAACTTGCAATAACTCTGACACCTACGACGATTTGATGGTGAAATAATTTGTCCATTCCCTCAGAGGTGTCGCATTCGACTGGTACACAGATCTTACAGTCAAAATTGTTGATAGTTAGGATCAACTTGAACGAGAGTTCCTCATTTGTTTCTACAGCACTCAACGTATGGTAAGTTTTCCTGAACTGATAGGATCAAAACAAAGAAGATATGAATTTGTCATCGATTATATCGAGCATTGGAGGAGTCTTATTCTCAACTGTAAAGAACACATTAGTGAAAGTTCTTCGATTAATATGTATGTCCAAGGGATGCAATGATGATTACTCTATAGCCTCCAAAAAAATATGCTTCATACTTTAGAAGAACTTGCGGCACATTCAACAGCTCTCATTATCTCAAATCAATGATCAAATTTTCGACTCTATAAGTTTCTAAACATTCTCATGTAGGAACACACTTTCCTGAGGTAGCCCACTTGCCTTACCCTCATAAGACAAAAGGGATCCCATTCAAGTACACAATTCAGGGTTTTGAGACCCCTTTTTTCTCTCACTTTTCTGGGATTTTCCTTCTCTTGGTTTTCTCTTTTCCTTTCCTCAGTTTTGTGTCTGCATTCTCTTTCCTTTCGGCAATAAAGAGGGAACAGAAATACGTAAGATAGACGGTGGATATATATATATATTCTGGACGGCTAATCTCCTTTTATATCATAACCTCGTAAGCTTTTGTAAATTTGTAAGAAGGTTGAAAACTTCCTGAAATGTTTTGGAGAATACAAGTGACTCGAGAGAATCGAGAATAAAGCTTTTAATGAACTTGACTTTCTTGTGAATATGTATCGTGATGGATCTAGAGACGGGTAGGCAAACGGATACGGGTAGGTGGGCAGGGACGATTGCCTTTCATAAAGTTTCAAAAATCTCTCTTAATATATTGTTACTAATTATGAATATCTCTAAACTCGTTAGTTATTAAGCGCACCATTGGACTTTTTGAAAAATTAAAGTATATTCTTGTTTAAATAATATCAAAGATTTTTCCGTCGCAGCATCTTATACTAATGGGGATCAAATAAATTTGATCATTCATTATTCCCATTAGTAAGTTATATTATTTTTTGATTTGTTTCGTATCGAGAGTAAATAAGTACAACCCATTCATTTCATATGATCTTATGTCAATTGTCGTATCGAAAAGCTGGTATGAATGCTTAGTACTCCTCATAATAAGGTATATATGAGTATGTTTAAAAGCACATGACCCTATTACTAATCCAACTTTAATTATATTCTGCTCACCATCTTTATACCTCTCTCTCTCTCCGCTAGCTTGTGGTTTAAGTTCCATGTTAAAGGTTGCTTCTCGTGAAATCCCTTGAAAATAATACATGAAATCTGGTCAAATATGACTAATTTTACTTAACTGTTGCTAATACACTTATCATGGCTAATAATCAGCTAGATATGGGACACTCTCAAAGAGTGAGACTTAAGCATATGTTAGTAATCCTATTAATCACGATTTTGGCACTGCATGACCTTTTCAATCAACGTCAAAATTAGCTGAAACATCAAATTAATTGATCGCAATTTGTATTGGGTGGGACCACATCAACATTTTCTTACATAAAAGTAGGCAATTTTTGGTAGTACTTTAATTAATTCTAGAGACAAATTGGCAAATGGGTTATCTGATAAATTATGAGCCATGGCCCAAAAGATATTATCATATTAATTATCCTATCTGTCACTGCATTTCGGCTCTTCAACATGATATATAATTACATATATAGGAAACTCCATGTTCATTCTACTTTAAGACATCCAAATGCTCAAATACAGTGAAGATAATTAAATTGAATGATTATTTGATGAAATTATGATTCGGATATGATTTATTAAAATTGAAGTGAATTAAATTATTCTCATCGAATAGAGTTTTTAAAACAATTTTTTTTATTGAATTTGAATATGGACTAAATCTATCTAGTATTAAGAACGGATTGATTGAATATTTGTTCCTAATTTGATCAGTTGATTTGCCTCAATTAAGGGATCCAAATAGTGAACTACACTGAACNCCCCCCCTCCTTACATAATCATCTAATCTTGGTCTCTCTCTCAATCCATAAGAAAAAAAGGACATGATCACAAACAAGACTGAAAAATAAACATGAAGAGTACCCATGTCTATTTGTTCAACTAATATTTTTCAAAATTTGTGCAATTCTTTCTGCTTTGGTTTTCTGAACATATGTTCAAAGGCACTGGAAAATTCATGATAAAATTAAGACCAACATAAAAACTCTCCTAGAGCATTTATGACTAGGTCGTTAAGAATATTCCTAGTTCATATTTTACCCACACATAAAAACTAGATGGTTCTTTGCTACCCGAAAAAAAAGAAGGAAAATTTTGTCATTTCACCATGTTCTGAAGTGTTGCGTTTGCATGACGCAGCACTGACTTTGCTCATGTTAGTAAGTACAAACTATTAACTGTTGAGAAGAGAAAATCATGTTTACCAATCCCAAAGCCGTGTCAATTACTCAACATTATTAATGTCAAACATTATACAGACCAGTCATCTTACCACATGAAGCCATCAAAAGCTCAACCTCCTTTCTTCAAAGAAAAGCAATTAACCAACCACACATCTAGTCATCCACCCATCTCTCTCTCTCTTTCTCTGCCGTCATAGTGTTTCATAGAAAATACATAAAAAATAAGGAAATGATATATTTTCTCTCTCTCCCTCCATGGTGTTATTAGTACATCAAAAATCAGGAAATGGTCTATTTATTCCCTCTCTATCTATCACCCACCATAGAATTATTCAGAGTATAATAAAAAAAATAGGAAATGATCCTCTCTCTCTCTCTCTCTCTCTCTCTCTCTCCCTCCCTCCCAATCTTCCCTCATTTCTTCCATAATTCAATATATAAAGCTTCATTATCTAACCTCTGTCTCTCTTGAAGCCCATAAAAAAATCATAAGCAATACTGAAAGAAACATGAATCCACCGAATTGAAAAGCTATCATTGCACAAAAAAATCGGATGACTGTTGTGAAACCTATGATTCAGATTCTTGACTATCTGAATTTCAGGTGCATTATGCATAATACCCTGATCTAAATTCTAATATCAAATAATTTCCATATAAAAACGTGTAATACATACATACATACATAATTCTGTAACTTGAGCCTCACAATTCACAAACCATATATAGAATCAATCAGAATACCGTGGAAAATTTATCCAACGCATCCTTGATTCACACGAGACACCTTCTCTTCATAACATCATCGGATTTCAACTCAACAGGCCGAAAACTTGACCGGAAAAATGACTCAACCTCTTCGCCGGCGACCATCTCGAAAAACTGTAGCTCGCAAAGCTTCCTTTTGCATGAAGCCAACGGCCTCGCCTTCTTTGGCGCAGGCGGGCAACTGAGGATCTGGGGAATCAGATTTTGAGGCGACTTTGGTGTTTGGCACCCATCCTCATGGCCAAGACTGGATTTTTCTATCGGAATTAAGCTCTTGTCATCGTCGGTGACGTCGGAAGACTGAGAAGAAGTAATCTTGATTGCCGGTATTCTGATTTCCAGCAAATCCAGCCGGAATTCTAGATCTGTTGACATGGTTTTGGAGGTCTTTGAGGGGTGGTTCCAGAAGAGCTGAAAGAGGTAGTGGACAGGAAATGAGGAGATGAATGTGTGGATTTGAGGATATATATATATGTGTGGAAAAAGAGCTGGGAGAGGCGTGCGTTGGAAGGTAATTGAGTTGGAAAAAGGTGTTTGTGGTATTCTTTGTTCTTTCTTACGTGCAGACTCCTCTAATTACTTCCTTGCTTGTCATTTTCATACAATTTCACAGCTATCAGATCTAGATTCTTTTGTAATACATTTTTCTCTTGTATATTACGGATTGTACTTCTCAAATAAACTCACCATTAAGGAGAATTGAGTGGGCGTCTATTAGAATTTATACATTACTATGTTTATGAAATTGTTTACTAAATTTAGTGGGTCTCATTCATTTCTATTAAATATTTAATATATAAATTTTGTCACATCATTTAGTATACAATATTTAATAATCTCATCTGATGCATAACTTTATTGTTATAATTTTTTAAAATCTCATAGACTTCATGAGTGATCGTCGTAAACAAAAATAGTATATCTTACAACTTAAAAATTCTTTGATATCTTACAAAATGAGATGTAATACTTTGCATCTCAAATGAGTAAGAATCATTGAATAAGTAGGTCCCATTAAAAAAATATTAACGAAATCCACTAGTCTGATAGGTTTTACATATAATTTGATCATGTCTAACCACTTATTAGGTTCCATTAAACTTGAGTAAGATCGGATATGTGGCAACCTTTCTATTTGTTTTTTTTAGTCTACTCTTGGGTATTTCGTGAAATGACTTGACTACCCTTCATTGGACACGTGATTTGCGATGGATTTTTGCCAGCCTAACAACAAAGCACACGACAATAACTCTCTCTGTCTCTCTAAATATTATCTGGTTTTTGAGGACTTTTACTTTTTCGGACTGCCATCTGGAACTTGTAACTTACGTTATAGGCTGGCCACAAACTAGATGCGAAAAAGGCCCACACGCGCTCTTAAGAAGCGTGTAACTCAGCCTTGAGTGAAGCCTTTCTTTAGCTTGGGAAATCATAAATATTAGTTAGATTTAATTTATGAGTAATCCTATTTGAATATAAAAATTTGATTTAATAATATGTCATAACTTGTAGGTCGGTAGTTAATCCTAATTAATATTCATAGCTATTGCAATCTAATGATGGTGATTGACTGGATGAGTAAATTAGATCCATGCTTAGTGAGTATCCTCTATTATTAAACTCGGTTCTGCCAATGAGTCAATTCGAATCAGCTCAATCAATGTCTAAATTATCTAATTTTGTAAATTAAATCGTTTAACCAATTATCCTGTGAAAAATTTGCCAAAAATAGATGATTCGTAATGGATAGTAAAAATTAGACGATTTTTGTTTCTCTTTCATCCATCCTCACCATTTTGAGAAGTTTGACGAAGAATCATGCAAAGTTATAGATTATTAAAATAGTTTTTTCTAATGATTTTTAGTAAATAGCAGTTAGTAAATGGGGATTACAAGTGTCCTATAAGGGACACATAACTAGATTGAAACAAAATCATTTATTCTTCATTTAATAATTAATTTTATTCCCCATTGAAAAAAAAAATAGCATAGACTAGGTCGGCCTTTTTGAGTTAATTTCATTATGTATCTATTAATGTGAATTCTTTTAGAGAATTAAAAATTGTTATGTATTATAGAAACAGTGGAGATAACTCGTATCTGAAAACACAGTACAATGTGAATGATTTTGAAAAGGGTGTTGACGGCCGTTGGATGAGTCTATTGAAATCGTCTTATAAACTTATTAAAACATGTTCTATTTTATATTATTGATACATCTTATCATACTAGAGTTTTGCTCTTTCAACATATGATGTGATCGAACATGTTAAAAATCCTTCTTTGTCACCGGTGGCGGAGCCACTCAATGACATGGCCACCGTTAATTTTGTTGTCTTATCATTATGATTTATATTTTTTTAAGTATATTATGTTAATCTTATTATTTTTTTGAAAAATGCTATTAGAATCTAATATGATGACCTAATTAGGGGATGTNTATATTTTTAAGTATATTTAATTATGTTAATCTTATTATTTTTTTGAAAAATGCTATTAGAATCTACTATGATGACCTAATTGGGGGATCTAATTCAATATAGCTATTGGACTAAAAATGGGCTCCATCTAACCTTAGAATCACAACTAATTCAATGACTACATTGAATTAAGTCCCCAAATTAAATCTCTAAAATATTACTCTATTTTCTTATCATATCAATTAGTACACACTTTAAACATATTTGGATTAGTTTGGACATATTAGGCTCATCTTAAAATCTTTTGATCAACTTGACCATTTATTATTTATATGCACTTTAGCATGAAATTTAAAACTTAGCAAAATTTTGTGATCTTACTCACAAAATTTTAAAATAAAAAAGTGTGTGGTATNGAGAATTAAAAATTGTTATGTATTATAGAAACAGTGGAGATAACTCGTATCTGAAGGCATAGTACAATGTGAATGATTTCGAAAAGGGTGTTGACGGCCGTTAGATGAATCTATTGAAATCGTCTGATAAACTTATTAAAACATGTTCTATTTTATATTATTGATACATCTTACCNGTTGACGGCCGTTGGATGAGTCTATTGAAATCGTCTTATAAACTTATTAAAACATGTTCTATTTTATATTATTGATACATCTTATCATACTAGAGTTTTGCTCTTTCAACATATGATGTGATCGAACATGTTAAAAATCCTTCTTTGTCACCGGTGGCGGAGCCACTCAATGACATGGCCACCGTTAATTTTGTTGTCTTATCATTATGAGTTATATATTTTTAAGTATATTTAATTATGTTAATCTTATTATTTTTTTGAAAAATGCTATTAGAATCTACTATGATGACCTAATTGGGGGATCTAATTCAATATAGCTATTGGACTAAAAATGGGCTCCATCTAACCTTAGAATCACAACTAATTCAATGACTACATTGAATTAAGTCCCCAAATTAAATCTCTAAAATATTACTCTATTTTCTTATCATATCAATTAGTACACACTTTAAACATATTTGGATTAGTTTGGACATATTAGGTTCATCTTAAAATCTTTTGATCAACTTGAACATTTATTATTTATATGCACTTTAGCATGAAATTTAAAACCTAGCAAAATTTTGTGATCTTACTCACAAAATTTTAAAATAAAAAAGTGTGTGGTATATTCNTAGCAAAATTTTGTGATCTTACTCACAAAATTTTAAAATAAAAAAGTGTGTGGTATATTCTTTAGTGTATATATAAGTAATTTTGACATTTATTTTATCAATCATTAATAATGAAGTCATCAAAGTATGAAAACTTGTTGGGTTAATTGTAACAAACTACAATTAATCTCATTTTTAATAAAAAAAAACTATAATTAATATTTTTTTTGTTGTACACATGTATGAATAAAATTTTAAGGATCATTCATAAAATAAATAGTATAAATGTGTCATCTATTTATCGATTAGAATAAAACGTGTTAAAGTGTCCTAAAAATTTATTAAGTAGATATTGTGATTTGCTGAGAGAAATTTATTTGTATATTCATAACAAAAATGAAATTACTCCTACGATAAAAAAAAATATAAATTTTTTTTATATGACACGTTTGGATGAAAATAACATCTTCATATGCCCAAATTCTATGGATAGTTGGCCAATATCATTTGTTCTTGTAGTACAACTCTCAATATTAAGTGGAGATCTTTTACAAATTTTTCAATAAGGTAAAATGTGTTTTTCATAAGGTGCGGGTGGGGATGACTGCCACTGTTGGATGAAAAAGACCTCTCTCTCTCTCTCTCTCTACATTTGCATAGGATACCATGATGGAGCCTTGAATAAGCCCACCCACCAGATCACGCCATTGCATATAAAAAAAACTACTGGGAACTGGTATTTTCGGCTTACCAAATACTCACCCACCCACCACACTCAACATCATCAATGTTACTTTCCACGTGAAGGGTGGTTGTCTCTCAACCATCGCTTGGTTTTCACCGTTAAAAAAAAAGTTTAGGATCACCAAAGTTTTGTATTCATGTTTTGGCCCCACAAATTCTTACTTTTAAACCCCTTGAGACATATCATTTGACGCAACCACGCCAAGTATAATTGCATGCATTGTTCTATACTCTTTTTGTTTTTGTTTTTTTCGGTAAGTATTGTTCTATACTCTTTATGATACATAGGGTGATAAAATTGTATGGAGTTTATAGCCATGAGAGGTTGTTGGTTTTAAAGCTGAGGACATTAATCTTGTGTAGTAGCATTTATTACAATGACATGAGTCGGTAATAGGCTCGGGTCAATTTCTATGAAGTTGTAAGTTCAATTGGAGGAAGACAATCTTTGTGTAAATAACGTCAAATGTCAAAACTATACCAATAGATCTCTCAAGCAAGGACGGATTTATTGGTGGGTTGAAGCCCAGAGTAAAAATTAAAAAAAAAATTATCACTAAGTACCAGTCCAACTCCCCCAAAAAAAATCTCATCCAACCCAACCCAACCCACCTGCAAAGCTTTCCCAATCGGTCTCTCTCAGTCACTTCCCCATGTCCTGTCTCTTCTTTCTCAGTCTCAAGCGAGTCACTTCCCCAAATCTTCGGACAAGCAACGACTCCATGGCAGGCGGCGAGTCCCTCTGCTCAAATACCCTGGTTTGTGGGCTCATTGAATCACACACAGCTTTATTTTATTTTTCTGGTTCACGGTGCTACCTATACATACAGGTATAGATATAGATTTCTTGTTTGCGGGCTTCTTGAATCACACACAGGTGTTGGTTTTCTCTATTTGCGGGTATGCAAATTTTTTCTCTGCTTTAGATTTATTGTTTTCCATATCCATTGTTTGTGATGTGTCGATACAGACGTACCCACACCCATTCACAGAGACCAAAAAACTCCTAATCATATAACAACACAT